TTATTTTGCATTTGTTAGATCAACTGTGGAATTTTTGTCTCTAATTTGGTCACCATATTATATGGTCCACATGGTGAGATTAGAACGTGTACAGAACCGTTTTTTGCGATTTGCGGCTAAGCAATTGGGGTTGCCTTTTGACTATTACTTACATGATTATGATCTTTTACGTGAACGATTAAACTTACCAAAAATTGAGACCAGATTCTTATACATTGATCTTCTTTTCTTTTTTAAAGTTATTAACGGAATCGTGCAATGTCCTAATGTTTTACAACGTATCAACTTCTCTGCTCCTTCTAGATTTTCTAGACACTGTTTGCCTTTTAAAGTATCCTTCCACAGAACAAATTATGGTCAGTATTCTATTTTCAATAGACTTAACAGAGAAGCGAATTTATATAATGACAGATTAGATTTTTTTGGAATTTCACTATCTTCGTTTAAAACTAGTCTGCGTAATTTATTATTTAACGTTAATAATAGTAATAGACTGTTGTAGTGAGTACAATTACACTTTTTGTAAAGGGCCTATTTGTAACTACTTATTTGTAAAGGGCTCTTAGCCCGTAAACTTTATATAAAATAAAATAAAATAAAATTCAAAATGAGCCAATGCTAAACGATATAGACAGTGGCGCCACCAACTTGACTCATTTTTGTTGCACTTCAAAATGAGTACCGTACGTTACTCATTTTGAGACCAGGTCGATTATGTGAAGCTTCCCTCTTAAAGTAACTACTTTTGTACTAATTTTAACTCTAAATGTAATTAATTTTACTCTTTTTAATAAAATTAATAAAAATAATTTTTTTCTTCCTGACATTTTACTTCAAAATTTAATTAAATCAACTACAAAGTCTGAAACAACTACAGAATCTCATTCTACCAAATGGATTCTTGGGTCATTCAACTACTTTCTGATAGTCCAATAGTACTGTAGGTCTTCCTCAAGGTAGTATCTTAAGCCCTTTAATGTACTCAATCTACACAAGAAAATTAATCTCTCGTCTACCTTCTAATTGTGTTTTATTTGAATTTGCTGATGACCTCGCTGTCATGTCCAGATCTAATGATCCTGTAATTTACATCTCAGCTCTTCAAAACTGTTTAAATATTTTTTCTAATTTTCTCAGTGAAAGAAATCTCGAACTTTGTCCTGAAAAAACTAAACTAATTTTATTCACAAAAAATTATTAACCTTAATGATCACAACCTTTCGTAAAAACTCATCAATGTTTCTATCACATCCTCAAATACTGCCAAATTTTTAGGTATTATGACATTGACGTGTGCAAACGCACATTTGTGTTCTCCAATAATTAGTGCTAAAAAATACATACTTTTTTCTTTTTTTTCCTTGAGAAAGATATCGTTATTTGCATAAGTTATTCATTGAATTTAATCGGGTAAGTAGCCTTTTTATATTAATAGACCTAACCTTAAAAAGTGTAAAAAGATTTCAGCATATTGTCGCGTGGTATTCTCGCCACGTTATTTCGCGTAAAATTATTCTTGTGGACAGAAGTAGGCCATTCTTTGCAGATAGAAGTGGGCCACTGTATTGACGTAATATTTCGACAATTACCCGTGTAGAAATTTTGTCATGGTCCCGATCAGGGCCTGTTTAGGATTAGTCAGAGCCTGATGTGGAAACTTTGATCTGGACCAAATCAGGATGAAACACCGAGATTTATAATTAATAAATTTATACATAATCGGAACTTGTAGAATCAGTCATTGAAGAATCGGAATTTATAATTATCAATTTATGTATAATCGGAATTTGTAGAATCTGTATTTCAAATATTTTATTCTTATACATTGATAAAAATTGAAGAATCGGGATTCATAATTAATAAATTTATGCATAATCGGAATTTGTAGAATCGGTCATTGAAGAGTCGGTATTTAAAATATATTATTCTTATACATTAACAGAAATTGAAGAATTGGGATTTTAATTTTTCTTTTTAAAGATTAACAAAATTTCTAGAGTCGGTCATTGAAGAATCGGTATTTAAAATTTTTATATCTACTTATTAACATAATTTGAAGAATCGGTCATTGAAGAATCGGGATTTTCGTGTTACGGTTTGTTATCTTGATTACTTTAACAATCCGTTTTTTGTAGGGTCAGTCATTGAAGGGTAGAACGTTGTGTACGGTTTTTTTTGTACACTTGGTTGTGTAGAATCGGGTAATTGTAGGATTGAAAAAGGTTGAATTGACTCCCTGCCGTTGGCTATACTTTTCTTGTAATTAACATGTAATAATACCTATTTGTACTAAGTTTTAGCTCTCTTTGTCAAATATTGTGGTGGCTAGGGGGTGTAAAACATGGTCACTTTGAGGCATTTTTGGTAAAAAATCATGATTTTACCTTGACAACGATATGAACATAAACTCTAATCATGTTGGCTATATTTCTCCTGTTATCTGCACGTGAAAATGTATATATGTGTACCAAATTTTAGCTCTCTATGTTAAAAAATGTGTCCGCCAAGGGAATGGGACATGGTCATTTTTGTGCTTTCTTGGAAAAAAATCATTATTTACCTTGACAATGCTATGAACATTAACTCATCATGTTGATTATATATGTCCTGTAATCTACACATGAAAATACATATATGTACCAAATTTCAGCTCTCTATGTCAAATAGTGCAGCAGCTAGTGGGGAGACATAGCTGGAACGGACGTAAAAATCCTCCCACAAGGGTTCCGTCCGTACACCGAAGGTGTACGGAACTATTAAAGTACAGAAATGTCCTTCATTTTTGTTTTCGAAAAATTAATTAATTAATTAATGTTAATAAAAAATGATATATTTTATAAACAAATAAAGTTACATTATTCTCAAGTCACCAAATGAAAGTTTACTTAATTCCGCATCAAACAAGCCCTATATGAAATATTTTGGATTACTGGATTGATATTATTTAATTGGCTAACATTGCAATTGTTTATAACAAACCCTTTAATCCAAAATAGTTCATATAGGAATTTTACCCCATAGGTATATAAATATTTTTATCTATACTTTAACATATTTCATTGTCAAAAAGAATTCTTTTAGGTGGATTATTTCTCAGAGAATACCTCATATTCAAAGCTTATTTACATGCATTCAGTAGTTTTGGAGAAAATTGAGTTTTTTGATTTTTCTTTTCCCCTCCATAACTCCCCCCAAATAGAAATTAGGGGTTTATACTTGCAGGATTTTGTACTTATATACAATACCGGCAGAAATTTTCAGTACGCCTGACGTGTGAGGAGTGGAAATTTGATGCTGAACTTAAGACAAGATATTTTAAGTTAGAGACTTGTAACCTAGATGATTGAAAAGCTGATAAAATTCTGCGTCTGAATATATATAAACAAAATTTTTTTCTTTTTTTTGCATTTATAACACCGAAAAGAAATCCAGAAAAAATTACACTGCCCTGCATCGATTTTGCGAATAACATGGGACATAGTGTTTCCGAACGGATTTTTTGTGCTGAACACGAATCCGGACTCGAAAACTTTCCATCACGTCACGTTTTCGAGAAAATAGGGGTTGAAACCCCTAAAAACACGGTTTTTGGCCATTTTTGAAAAATTATACTTCGAAAACCTGACGTGGTACAAACTTTGCTGATATCAGAAATTAAAGATTGGTTCATGTCCTTTCAAACGAGCCCTATTCGAAATTGATCGCACTCACCCTTAGAGCAGGGGGTGTGTTTTTTTCTAGGGGTGCACGAAAAAATGTAAACATAACATAAAAATCCATTTTTAATTTTTGAAATCTGACTTTATATTCGTAATCAGCGAGCCCGAAAACCCCTTAACTATCATGATTTATTGAATTGTTATCCATTTTTAATTATTATGTTATGTTTACATTTTTTCGTGCACCCCTAGAAAAAAACACACCCCCTGCTCTAAGGGTGAGTGCGATCAATTTCGAATAGGTCTCGTTTGAAAGGACATGAACCAATCTTTAATTTCTGATATCAGCAAAGTTTGTACCACGTCAGGTTTTCGCTGTATAATTTTACAAAAATGGCCAAAAACCGTGTTTTTAGGGGTTTCAACCCCTATTTTCTCGAAAACGTGACGTGATGGGAAGTTTTCGACCCCGGATTCGTGTTCAGAACAAAAAAATCCGTTCGGAAACACTATGTCCCATGTTATTCGCAGAAAAAAATTTGAAATTTGCAGTGCAGTATTATTGCAATTTTCCTACTTTCGTACTGATGTTTTTGACTAGTAGCATAATCTAGAATAATGTATGGAAATATTTGACAATTTTACAACATAATCTTTAAGGTCTTAGCTTTAATTTGAATTTTTGAAACTTCAAAAATGTTTTGTGATTCCTGAAATATGTTAAAAAATGCCCGAGCATGTTTTTCTACAACTCAATCATCGATCATCACTTTTTTTTTTTTTTTTACAAACCAGCAGCGAGGCGGCGAAAAGTGATGATCGACGATTGAGTTGTAGAAAAACATGCTCGGGCATTTTTTAACATATTTCAGGAATCACAAAACATTTTTGAAGTTTCAAAAATTCAAATTAAAGCTAAGACCATAAAAATTATGTTGTAAAATTGTCAAATATTTCCATACATTATTCTAGATTATGCCACTAGTCAAAAACATCAGTATAAAAGTAGGAAAATTGCATAATTTTTTCTTAATATCTTTTCGGTGTTATAAATGCTAAAGGGGCGTTGTGGGCGAGAAGCTATCCCAGAGCAGTGATCTACAGTCACCAGAGACGTCTGCTGTACCTCTGTGGGGCATCAGCGCTTTCTTAAAGAGAAAGAGTAATTCATTCAGACTATAGGACGTAAGCATTCTCTCATTTCGTTTAGCAGGCCTAGCGCTAGATAGAGCAGCTCGCCCAAAAACTTTTCCGTGTAGCAGTACATGGACCGAATATGTGCGGGAGCTACTTTTGCATACTTAACCACTTATGTCCTATAAAACAAAAATATAGTTGTACATTGTCTGTATATCCTTGTGGACTCTTCCTGTAATCTTGATCAATCCCTCCTCCGATTTTGAATCCACATTTCATTACTTCCTCTCCATTGGCTATTATTTCAGTTTCCTTATGTAATGTAATTGGAATCTGTAATTTAGAAATTTCTTAAGTTAAGGGTTGCATGAAAGTTTTATGATTCTTAAAGAGGAATGATACACCCATTCTGGCAAAAAGTTTGTGACATTTTGAGAAATTTGTTTTTTTTATTTAAGGTACATATCGCTCTTTTAACATTAAAAATGAAAAAAGTCTTCATCAATTAATACTAAAAAATGTATATTATAAGAATAAAAGCTAGTAAATTTCAGAAATTTTTTTGTGAAAACAAAGCACAATTTTTGGTACTGACTGTACAAATCTACCACTTGCAACTTCTTACACATGGGTTTTTATGATTGCTGATTAATTTACTTGAAATTCTTTACTCGTGAATTTTTGGGATCGGTGATTACGAATCTGCAGTCAGATTAAAACAATTTTAAATGGTGGATCCATCAGGGCGGTCGAAAAGGTTAAAAATAAACCTAATTTACTTATAATTCTTTTCTCGGGGGTTTTTAGGATCGCTTAATAAAATGTATACACGCAAATGTTTAAAACATAAAGATAATGAGAAAGACAAAAACAAGAACATAAAAATATAGTAAAAAGTACATGTTTCAATGCAGAATTGATAACAGTAATATTAAGAAGCCAAAATAATTATTAATAATTGAACTCGAATATAATCCAATAGGTCCAACAAAATTTTTGAAAATTTTTAAAAATCGATAGATTTGACTAAAAAATTTTACTCAGATAAGCCCCCAAAAACCCCAGATTAACAATTGATTTATCCAATAAATGTTTAAATTTTGACATTTTGAATTTTCAATAATTAATATCAGATTCGTAATCAGCGACCTCAAAAACCCCCGAGTAACAAATTTTAAGCGAATCCAATAAATTTTATAAAATGGTGGGAAATTTAGGTTAATGGTTTTCCATATACTAAGAAAAATAAAAGAGGCATCAATTAATTATCATTAACTTTAATTATATTACACAGGCACACAAAAAAAAAGTTGTCTGTTTCTTGAACTAGACATATATTTCCTATAGTATTTTGGGCCGCTGAAACCGAATCTGAGCTCAGAATTGCTCCATCACCCTCAGTTTTTTTTAAATCGACCAAAACCACCCTTAAACGGACAAATTCACACTTCGGAGATAAAAAATAAATCAACTTATTTTTTAAAAAAACCTAATTTTACATCTACGAAACTTTGCTCCACTAACTCAAAAACAAAGCCAGCATTGATCCAGCACCCCCTGAATTTTTTTAATCGAAAAAACTACCCCTAATCTGAAGAACCAAATTCAGGAGATAAAACAATAAAATAACTGATTGACAAATTTTATAACCAGATATTTTTACTCCAGTAATGCAGAAACGAAGCCAGAAATGCTCCCTCACACTCTAAATTTTTTTTAAATCGAAATAACCACCCTTAAATAGAAAAATTCAAATTTAATAAGTAAAAAATATTAAATTACCGGTTATTTTAAAAACAGAACCTTACATGTATGTAGTTTTGCTTTTCAAACTCAAAAAAATAAAGCCAGCATTGATCCATCAACCTCTGAATTTTTTTAAATAGAAAAAACTACCCTTAATCTGAAGAATCAAACTTAGGAGGTAATACAATATAATTATATTGTATTACCTCCTAAGTTTGATTCTTTGGTGGTTTTTTCGATTTAAAAAAATTTTAGAGGGGAAGGGAGCATTTCTGGCTTTGTTTCCGCATTGCTGGAGTAAAAATACCTGGTTATAAACTTTTTTAATCAGTTATTTTATTGTTTTACCTCCTAAGTTTGATTCTTCAGATTAAGGGTAGTTTTTTTTATTAAAAAAATTCAGAGTGTGATGGATCAATGCTGGCTTTTTTTTGAGTTAGTAGAGCAAAACTATATACATGTAAGGTTCTGTTTTTAAAGAAACCGGTAATTTAATATTTTTTACTTATTAAATTTGAATTTTACTATTTAAGGGTGGTTTTTCGATTTAAAAAAAATTTAGAGGGTAAGGGAGCATTTCTGGCTTTGTTTCTGCATTGCTGGAGTAAAAATATCTGGTTATAAAATTTGTCAATCAGTTATTTTATTGTTTTATCTCCTGAATTTGATTCTTCAGATTAGGGGTAGTTTTTTCAATTAAAAAAATTCAGGGGGGTGCTGGATCAATGGTGGCTTTGTTTTTGAGTTAGTGGAGCAAAGTTTCGTAGATGTAAAATTAGGTTTTTTTAAAAAATAAGTTGATTTATTTTTTATCTCCGAAGTGTGAATTTGTCCGTTTAAGGGTGGTTTTGGTCGATTTAAAAAAAAATGAGGGTGTTGGAGCAATTCTGAGCTTAGATTCGGTTTCAGCGGTCCAAAATACTATAGGAAGTATGTCTAGTTCAAGAAACAGACAACTTTTTTTTTTGTGTGCCTGTGTAATATATTTTCAATTTTAAACAATTTTAAAATCATTTTGTTATTAATTTTTAAATATTTTTATGATTATACTAAGTGAACAATTGAATTTAAAGATGAAAGTATTGCTCAATTCCAAAGCAAGCAATTAATTCGTAAATTTCTTGAAAACAAACAATTTTTTAAAGGAATTTTTTTTTCTATTCATTTCGTCGATTCCATAGAAAGAAACTAATTAATTTTTCAGTTTTTCTTTAAACTGTATATTTTTTTTTATAATTAATGCTTAAAGAAAATGTGCGCAGTTGATAGAACCTCAAGGCACCACAGTTTTTTTTTAATTTTATCGTTAATATGTAGGTTTATTTCAACAAATTGTTGTTTATTTATTAAAACATACTGATATATCGAAACGGTTTTCTCAGTTTTTTTTTTAAATGACCTGCAAAATTTTTAAAAATGTTTTTTTTTACTTCCTGTAAAAACAGTGAATTGGCGCTTGACCCCTTTTGTCATTCTACCCTTCATATAATGTATCCTGTCGTGTATGGGGGTATTTTCTGGAAAAGGTCATGTTTTCGTAAATTCGCTTTTTCTCAAAACAACGTTTTTTGACCTGGAGGACATCATAAAAGAAAAACTATTGCACCGATTAAGCACAAATTATTATGGCTTATTCTATACATATACCGCTATCGTCGGAACTAGAATCATAATTTTTAATTAATATTTAACCATTTTTTTAAACAATGTATGTTGAAAAAACAAGGTCAAAAATGAAAAAAGTCCACCATTTTATTTTTTTCATCGAAAATAGTTGATTGTAGTTCCGACGATAGCTACGAGCTTACTTTTCAAGAAAATATCAAAAATTTTATTTTTCGATGACCTAAATTGGAAATATGGTGTCCGCGAATCAGAAGTAGGGGTATTTTCAGGAGGCCATAACAACAAGATAATCTATAATAAATAAGGAATAAAAATTTTTTTTAAACAGTTTAAAACCCCTTATTTTAGGTATAAAAAGATTGAAGTAAATAAAACCTTCGAGCAATAAGTTTTAAACCAATCCAAGAACTTTTGAAAAAACTCGACTGTCATATTAAATCTGTCATTTTGAATTTTTGAAATCTGGATTCAGATTCGTGATCAGCGACCCCAATAACCCCTGCGTAACAAAATTCACGTAAATCCATCAGCTGGGTTTATCAGAGGCACGAAAGGATTAAGACAAGAAGACTAGAGACAGGAGGAGTAACTTCGCTTGAGTCCTATAGAGAACGGTGACGTGTAATATGAGGGCAATGAAAGTGGCATACTTGGAAAGTAGTTGGTACAGTAGGGGAGACCGGGGCTGAAAGTGCCGGGGGTAAGTTGTGCCGATAGGAATATCTCAAAAACAAAATTTTTTTTTTAAAGTGAAAAAGAGAGAAGTATTGTTTTACTTATGCGCATCTTTGGCAACTATTTTGATTTTGTTTGCTTCACGGAATAATTAGCTGTTAGTAATTTTGTGCTTTGGCGTCACTTAAGTGCAAGTTTTCATGTTTACACTTGTTGGTCTATTTTTTGCTTTTTTAAAGATACCCTGGCGGATTGTATGATGCGAATGCTCCACGAAATTGTCGGAGCATTCGTGGAGCACGAGATCGAAATTGAAATTTTATCTAAAATGAATAAAAATGATGAAATTAATAATATAATTATTAAAATCAATAAGTTTTATGCATTTTAAGATGATTATTGTTGAATAATTATAAATAAATTGGTGAAAATTTATTTTTTTTATCTAAAATATTGATCACAAAAATTAATTTTTTTATGAAAAATATTGTTGAAAAAATGTATTATTTTATGAAAAAAATCAATATTTTTGATAAAAAAAATGTAAGGCGTTGTTCGCAGTGGCGAGACAGCCGGTGTAGCGAGACATTAGGATATTTCAGACAGCTGAACTGACTGTGCTGGCACTTCTGGTCTGAATGTCAAGTTTTATTGTGCTTTAACTTTTCCATATGATACATACGTTTTTGATGTACGAAATATCGCTATACTGTTAATAACAGTTTCAAGATATTTTAAAAGTTTTATTTCCCATCGGTATAAGTGATAATATATAAAAATTTCCGGAATTTTCTGAAGGGTTAAATGTTTTGAGTCTTTAGTATTTAAGTTTCCTTCAAAATTTCCAGAGCACTATGAATTATTGTTCGATGCATAGGATTGTACATCGCCATTACCGAAAAATGCTGTTTCCGCATTGGCGAGACACTTGTTGTCGGCAGTGGCTTTTTTATATCTAATAATATTGTACATGTCCTAATGAATTTGATATAATTTTTGTACGTTTTGTCGACAATATTTTTCATAACTATAGTTTAAATTGAAAAAGATGAACAGGAAGAAAAGCTTATTTGTTTTTAATAACTGTGACATGGATTAGCGGCTCACAATCAGAAAAATATTTGCCTGTATTTTTATGATTGAATAAAACAATATTATGATTTAAAGGCATCAATTATTATACTCTTTCTCTTTGATTCCTTTGTTTTTGTTACGTTTAAACGATAAAGACTCTGATTTTAAGATAGTGTCTCGCCACTACGGACGATTTTTTATGTCGGTAGTCG